GTAAAAAGGAACTATCAAAATCATTATGTATCTGTGTGCAACTAATAAAATATGCCTAAATGGCATTTCCCATTCCCAGATAAAGAAAGTGAAGTGTGGGAACTTGTGACCTGGCAGTTGTGTCCAGCTTTCAGTTGCAAGCTGTGCTTGAGTTCCCTGACTGCTTGGTCTTGAGCATTACCTGTGTTTTTCTTAAAGACTACTGGAAACAAGTTTTGAAAAAAATCTCTCTTTTATTACATGATGGTGCTTAAGATTTTCAGCTTTCCCGGTGATTATGTACATAGGTGGATCCTTTACAGTGAGGACTATTTTCCAAACGCCAACCTTGAACCAACAAGTTCAATCTTTAGGAACACCTTCTTTTCTTACTCTTGGATCCTTAAAGGTGAGAAGTACTCAGAGGCTCAGTTAAGTACAGTGGGTGTTACAGACTCAACCACAAGTTCCTTAATTTGGAGGCTGAACAGAAGAAAAACAAAATCTTTTTGCAAGCCTGCTCAGCAGGGTGCCTGCCCAACAATTAATAATGGGGAAAGGGGGATTTTTTTTTTGTCAGCCCTTGCAAGAAATCTGAAAATATCTCACAGTTGTTCCAAAAACTAATGTCCAGATACACACGAATTCATTCTCTGGATCTGTGCTATCTGCTTAGTACCCAGCGTCCCCTGATTTCCAGGACAGTCCATGGAGAGAGACAGGCATCTCCCAGAGCAATCTGCTCCACCGATAACGTTAACTGCCTTCTGGAAATGTTGTTCTCTCCCTGCTGACTGCTAAGAGAAAGCTTTGAATCATTAGACACTTTGTTTAGTGCTTCAGTTGAGTGCATAAAGTAAAGATGGAATTAGGTGGTTTTAAGTGATGAATTCTTTGAAATTGAGCATAATCGTGACAAAAAAGAAGGCAGCTATGAAGAATGCAGCCTGGGACCCAGAGGCAGCAGGCACGTTGCAACAGGGTCTAAGAGGATGATCTGGAGCAATTCTCAGATAAAAAATTATTCCTATTTGCCTTACGCTCTCCTACCGTGACAGGACCAGACACTACTGGAGAGACTAAAAGCGGCGCTCTCTCTACCATTCATTTGGAAATACACGAACAGGAGGATTGCTTTGCACAGCTACTCTCCCTGCAGCCGCAGCAGCAGTATTTATGGATAGATCGATTACCTCCAGTTCTCAGGGGAAACGTTAACTCTGACGACTCCCTCAAACTCCCACCCGCCAAATGGATCTTAATGGATTGACACATCGTGTTCATAACATCAGCCCTCATCTCTCACACAGTAAACCCTACTGTAGTGTCTAGCAGTTCTACAGCTTTCTGGACAGCGTTTGTCTGCAGTTACCTGTGCATTAATTACACAACTAAATTATCACTTTATAGCTCACCTTCAGAATGCAGAAGGCCCTTTTAGAAAATGAGGATTTGAAAGTACGTGATTAGCTATAATAGAAGGGGAACCACGGGCTTATGCTGAAATTTACTCTTTTCTCAAACAATCAGCTTTTGCAGAATAAAAGGCTTTTTCTGCCAAATGAACTTCCAAGCTGTTCTGAGTAAGATCGGGAACAAGATTTCAAATCAGTGTATTTCTGCTTTAGTTTTATAATATGTTACGATATGCTTTTATATACAGTTAGAAGGCTGGTGTCATTTAATCTTTTTAATTAAAAATCTATATTTATCATAATGGTGCTTCCTCAAATTGTAACGAGAGGGTTTTTTTAGACATATCCTGCATGTCATTCAACAACTCATTACAACCCCTGCCCAGCAATCTGCTAATGAAAAATACTCACATATTGCTAAACCTCTTGCTACAATTTTTTTTAGCTTTTTGTTACCTTTGCCAGCACAGGTGAAAATCATGAGCTGCCTTGGCATCCCTAGGGTTTTATTCCATACTAGCTAAATTTGTGTTATGAATGCACATGCTTTCTCAGTGGAGGACTCACCTTGAGGGTATTGATTTTATTGCAGCTGGATTCGGGTATGTCTATTATCCATCCTTCTGCTTTTCAACCTCCTTACAATGAGCAGGTGGAGTATTTACAATTGCAAGAGCTATTAGTTCCTGCTTACACGCAGAGGTAACGATATCCTATAATGCTATACTTTGTGGTTTCTGGTAAGCTGCTTGGCTTGGGTGTTGAGCTTTTCAAATGGTGGCAGTGAACTACTTGCAAGGAGATGATACCTCTTTCATGGATTAACAGTTTAAACAATGCATTAGAAGCCATGAAAACAATAAAAAACAATAAATACATTGAAAGGCACTATTATTATTTAATAGATGCTATCTTAAACTTCATTATTCTTTACTGTTCACTCTTTGAGTCTATCTGGTAAGTTTAATGACATCTTTGTGTTGGTATAAATCATTGTGTAAATTCCCATTTGCATCTATCAGCAACATATAATATTAACATCTGCAAACAAGAATAAAAGGCTACCACTTTATCTGAAAACAGATCTTCAGTGAGGGCCTGGCAGACTAATACAGCCACAAACCCAATCTCACTGAAAGAAAAACAAGTGTTTCTAGTGCAAGCATAAATCCTTTAGCAGACAATGAACTAGGAAATAACATCCTTCCTCATACATACTGTCCACATCCTTGCATGCAAATGGTTGATAACTCAATGTAATCCTAGCAAACAAAAAATGCCCCAAAGTAAAACAAGCAAGCAAAGTACTGGCTAGGAGGCTCAAAAGAACAAAATCCATGTTATATGATAAACTCTTGAGAGAAAGCTCCACTCATATAGGAAACCAGAAATCAGAAACTACAGTTTTTAGGAGAAGACACAAATTGTGAGGTTTGCAGGCAGTTTGTCAGTGAGAGCCCATGTAATTTCAGGGCAGCTATTTTCAATAAATACATCCCAAGCGCCATCCCGTGGGGACGGGCAGCCCGACAGCGCTCACCCTGTACCTGGCTGCAGCGCAGGAGGGCTCTAATTAACAAGTGGATTTCTTGATCAAAGAAGCAAACTCATAATGAGGGCACTTCCTTCACTTGAAGCAATTAAGCCACTCCACTTTCCATCAGGAATATAAGAATTGCAGCTACACTAATCAACGTCTCCTCCTCTCAGAAAGATAATGAAAGCCAATATATTAGTGTTCGTATTTAAGAATATCAATTATTAATAACAATGAAAGCAGACAGAGATTGGTGGTTTGAGTGGCAATTTCTTGTAAAAAGTTACAATTTGAAAAATAATTATCATTAAAAGCAAGATTGCACTTCCCAATCCAGTGCAACTAGATTCCTGGATTCCCCAGGAATGTAAGTCTTCTGTATTACATAAGCAATCAGGTCATCAGAAATTTATTACAGTAGGACACCAATTTTATCAGGACAGCTTTCACATCCCTCTGTACTTGCTTCATGACTGTGTTTACAGCATTTCTACAGGCAACACAGTGAAGCAGGTTGTTCTTTTATCTGTCCTAAAGCAGCAAAAATTCTCCCCAACCACATCTTGACACCTGTTTTCAGGTTTCCCTTTTTAAGTCACTCCAGGCTTCATACAATGAATTCTCTCTCAGTTACAAAGTCAGCATTCCAGTGTTGAGTCTAAAATCAGTTTTAAAAAAATACCACAGCATTATCCTAATCTAGGTACTGGATCTTGATTTAAAAATACCTAATTTTTAACAGACATTCAGTTGTGAGTGATGAAATGACTGCAATTGTTCCAGAATGTTACTGCTTACAATTTGCTAGACTTGGAGCAAGGAGAGAGGAAAGGCCCCTTTTTCATTTCACTGTGGGTCTCCGAGAGCAGCAAACAAGAAAACAACCTGCACTATTTGAAAATTAAAAAAGAAAGCCCAACTTTTAGACTGCTAAACTGAAGTCCTGTTCTGCAACGCTGATGAAAACATAATGGTTAACAAATTGTCATGTTTGTATTACAATGCAGTAAAATAAGGTTATTATTACAATGCAATAAAATCAGGGAAAAGTATGTTTCTTCATTGCAACTTACATATCAGTTGTTCAGTGTCTAATATCTAGATGCAACATGGTTTAGAAGAGCATTTTGTATGGGTTCTGTAAATTCTGTATAACCTCAGCATGTGAAAATCTATGACTGGTTTAAGACTCCCACAATGAAGCTTCCGTAAGTTTACGCTGACGGCAGTTCCCCATGCACCTACACTATCATTTTGTACAAACTGTTTACACCTAGGGCTCTCTCTGCTGCAGCCTCAATCATTTTACCGAAATCAATACATTACTTTGGGGATTATATAAAACCCTGACACCCCTTTAATCTCATTTTTCTAAGCAATATAAATGATGTCAGGCTAATTTATTATCATACCTCAAATCATATTCCTTATGCTCATGATAATTTTAATTGCTTCCTAGAATTGCTCAACCGTGCAACATCCTTGCTATAAATTGTAGTAGCCAGTCCGTTCCTGCTCCCAGCAGTGCTCACTGTAGGATGGAGTTAACAGTTCCCCGAATGTGGGCACCAGCTGTCAAATCAGCCACCAGGGTGTGCGCGTGTGTCCAAACACAAACTAAATGTATGCAAACCCACCCATACATCGATTTCCTAGTGAGATTTTCATTGCTTTGAAAACGGTAGCGTGATGTGGAGACAGCGTGCCTCCGCCTGCCCCACTGTGACTGAGGGAGCAGAACAGCAACAAAAAACAGTCTTTTACCCTCAGGGGTAAAATGAAGGGGAGAATGGGTCAGAATCCCAAACCTTGCATTTTTGAGCACAACAGAGAGGTATAAGCAACACTTAAGATGCAAAGCAACTCACAAAAGAGTTGGAAAGAACAATCATTTTCACGAGCTTGCACTTTGAAGCACACACTAAGCTGCTGAAGGATGCCATCACGTACGTTTGGAAGCACCCTGCCTTTCTGTTCTCCACTGGAGAAACGTCTCCAGGACATCTTCCCTTTGAGCTCTGCTCTTCTATACTCTGCAGAGTGGTAGTAACTTGAAAGCCACAATATGAATACAGACACACATAGACACACAGAATATGCACAAATACGCAAAGCCAGAAAGGGAAATGCATAAGTCTGTGTACAAAATGTGGTGTCTTTGTGCAGTCCCTGCTAAGTCCTGTAATTTTGCCTGATGTTCTAAGAAGTCATTAATGGCCACTGATGTGTTGTTAGAGCACATTAGCATACATAACTCCCCTTCAACAACTGTACATTGTAAATGTATGAGGTCATGAGTACAAATCAATCAGTACAAAACACTCATACCTGTCTTCTAAAAGCAGATGGAATAGATACAGAATTAATCAGCATTAAAAACCTGCTGAAATTCTAGAATCCTAATTTTGACTTACGATCAGCTGTACTGATGTCTTTCCAAGGGAAATATAGGCTAGGAGCGTAAGCAAAGAAAAACCAATTCCAGGCATCCTAAAATTGCTGAGATGGCTTCAAAGACAGGATCAGGTTGCTTGTAGTCAGAGGCATAGGGAGAAGAGAGCACGTAGCTCCTCGCTTCAGGCTTACCATTGCTCTACTGCAGCAATGATGCAGCTACAGGATTTGAGAGGGGTAGGACAGGGGAAACAGAACTGGACAAGGGGTCAGTATTCTCCTCATCCAGCTGGGTAATTAGTTAGAAGTGTGCTTGTACTGCTAAACAAGTTTTGGGGGACAACTGGATCCCTTACATATATCAGTCCCAGGCCTGGACAAACTCCAAACAGACTTCATTGCTTTTTGGTTATCTCACACTTGTTTAAAAGAAATGTTTGTGGAGTGCTTTGCTGCCTTCAAGTTGCATGATCAGTTATTCCAAGTTTGAGCTTTTACATTCTGTTTGGTTTTCTTTTTTTTTTTTTAAATCAAATGACAAATTAATTAAATGGAAGTATTTGTAAACACACCAGAACTTATAATCAAGTCACCAATTAAATGCAGACATCACTTGGGCCATATTTCAAAAACAGACCTTTCTGAATTTCTGCTGCTCATTAGCTTTATCCTTTACCAGGACATTGCCAAACAGCACACAGAAGACCCCCAGGCATATGAGTTATTTCTTATTCCAAAAATAAAGGAGTTAAAAAACACCCCAATGCAATAAAACAGGTGATTAGTCAATATTTGTTAGCTGTTGGCTAATGCTGACTTTTTTTTTTTTTAAGAGCACTGTATCTTACAGCATTAACAATGTCATTGATCAGATGGAAGTGGCATATTTGAGAGAGAGGCAAAGCCTGTTCATGGTATACGTAACACTTTACCTTTGCTTCTTCTCAGTTATGCGGCATGAGGAGGATAAAGCTTTCAAGAACACTCCACCTCCCACTCACGATTCACAAGTCTAGCTTGATTAGTTTTGCCCAGCTCTTTTTGAGATTGCATTCAGTAAGCTCAAACACAATTACCTGACTTAAATTCATCTGGTTGGTTTTTGTGTGATTTTTTCCTTCACATAATTCTTCAGAAATGGCTTTGTTCTTCCTCCACCTTCTTGATCTCTTTTCTAAATCGTAATGGACTTCTTCAGTCTCACTGCTGTCCGAATACTCCAAGCTGGTTGCCTGTGGATTGAAATTTACATCTAGTTCTCCGTGGAAATGTTTTTTTTCCATTCTGGGCATATCACTTTGAGTTCTGCTTTGTAACCACAGAAGTTTGCTAGGTCCTTTAGCTTCCTGGGAAGAATTTACTGAAGATGTTTCAGAATCGGAGAACAGCGTCTCAGTATTGGTGTATAACCCAGAGGAAGGGGAGGTCACTGCCTGGTACTGATCATTGCCATACACCCATTCAGTACCATACTGGGAATTGGCGTAATAGAAATCGTCTGGTAATTGCCGAGGTCTCCGACGCAGCTTGTTCAAGGCCACATTCCAGTCGTAGTCATCCTCGCTGTCTGAGCCCATCTCATCATAGGCAGACACAATGCTGGATTCATTCTCCAAAGCTTCAAATACTTGACTCTTTGGTTTGGCGAGCATTCGAGGACGAGGCAAAGTGACGTTCTGCAAAGCCACCCAGTTTCCATCAGTGCTTTGAAAAACAGAAGGTGGATCTATGAAAACGAAACAAGAACAATTATCATTACGTGATCAGTGTGAAAGGCTTATTTCACTTGCCAATTGGCAATCAACTGGTCACAAATTGGAGGGTTCAACAAATGAACTAATGCAAGTGTTGCTGCTACATCAATTCTCTCGCATTGTGAGCCATGCTGCTGTACTTTTAATCAGAAGCCACTGCTTAAAGTCATGGTGATGACCATTTCAAATGTGAGAGTATTTGGACCAAAGTGTTTTTTTAGAAGAATTATTAGGAAAGGCTGAGGGAACATCAGTACACAGACATGCATAAATCCTGTCTTTTGCAAATGTCTGCAATTCTGTGTGCAGTTCTGGTCCCCCATCTGGAAAAGGAAAGATGGAAAAGGATCAGAGAAGAGCAACAAAGGTTGCACTAGGTTCTGAAATGGCTTCCATTCAAGGAATGATTAAGTAAGCCGGAGCTCTGCCATCTGGAGGAGAGAAGACTGACAGGATACATGCTAAGAGATGGGGGAATCTCTTCTAACCTAACTACTGAAGGACACTGAGTGAAAGTAGTGAAATCAAGGTTCAAAACAAACAAAAGAAAGGAGCGGGATGCAATGGGTACCAGACCTGTGGAGCTTCTTGCATGAGGGTGTTATGGATGCTAGAAATTAATCTGAGATAAAACAGAGATGGCTATGGACATAGAAGAGAAATCCACTGAGGTTTACTAAATACAGAAAAACACTTCTAGCTGAGGTAGTCATGAATCTGAAAGTTCTGGAGGTTCAGAGCCTACTCTGAGGCAGCATGAAAAATATTTGCATTCTCCTAATCTTTCCTAGGCTCTTGCTTATGGCACGCTGCTGTTCTATCCTAGACTAAATGAGTTTTTTGTCTGACCCAAGCACTGCTTGTATTCTTACACTTCTTCAGCGTATGTTTTACAACCCCAACAGAAAAAAAAAAGAAAAGACACAAATATGGTCAAAAAGTACTGTACAATTCACAAAATTGCATTTCTTCTAAATTTAGATTCCATTTCCAATCAAACTTGAAAAGTCCCTTAATGGGAAATGTGAATCTGTGATGACTCTGCCTCCCACAGCAGTTGAATAAATATATAATGCCATGAATTTACACAGTAATCTCAGCCTACTGAATGAACTTTTCAGCCTTACAGATTCCTTCCATGGGTTCAAATTTGCCATTTGCAGAAAACTGTAGAAATACCTATTATAAACTATTAGTTTTCTAAAACTGTAAACAGAACATCACTATTTAAAAATGGAAGTAGTAAAATCTGGATAGTGTTGTAGATGATACTCAAGCATCTTGCATTATATGACTATAAACACTTGGAGCTCAAGAAGATGACTTTCTCCCTGGAATTGTTCATAAAGAACTTATGTATACAGTAAGAAGGTGTGCTCAGTTAAAAAAAAAAAAAGTCTGTGGTACACTACCACCACCAAAACATCCCCAACAAAAAAGAAACAATAATTAAATGGTCATTAAACTTAGGAGCTATGCAAGATTTAGAACAGTTTTTGTATTTGTTACTCATTTGAGTCCTTTTGGCTTGTTTTCACTTCCTAAATTTCATGAGAATTCAGAGAACTTAAGAAAATACATCACTGACATCATCTTACTCCTGCTTAAAAAGAAATCAAAATAGTTTTCCTGTAGCAGTGACCAGCTGAGGATATAACTGAAGTCAGGTTTATAGAGAGAACTAATAACTCTTTATTTTAACAGCTGATTTTGGAGAAGAAAAGAAAAAAAAAGAATACAAGCTATCAGGCATAAGTTCACTTTTTCCAACTAAAAGTATAAGATTCTCTTGAGAGAAAGAGGACCTTTCCTTAAAAACATTGTTCCTCCAAACAAAGCAAACAGCTCTTCAACACATAACTCTCCAACAGGAATTGAATTCTGCTGCATGACATCACACAAACATAATGCAGTAGAGTGTCACATCATTATACATTTTTCTCTCCCAAACCATATCCCCTTATTTTGTTTAGCAACAACACATAAGAATTGGTCAAACATCCTCAGTTAACTGAAGAAAGGACAGGATAGTGGTTGATTACGTCTTGAAGGGTAAGCGGGGTGGAAAGGAAAGCTACCGAGAACTTTATATTGAGAAAGCTGACCCAGTTTTATCCCAGCTTCAAGTAATGTCAAATGCTCCCTTCCTGATTTTCCAAAACAAAGTCACTTACTTGAAAGAATGGATTTTGCACACAATACTTTGAGTATACGCTATAATTTATCCACGTGAAAATGAAAATAGATTTAAGAAGTCTCATTGTGAAACTATTGCTAAAGGGGAAAAAAAGCACTAATTCATGATTTGGCTCTTGAGTCATCATTTAAACCAGTGTAAACTGTAATCAAAATGAATTGTGAACTGCTTTTTGGCTACCTGACTAAAAAGACCACTGATTTTACCACTCCAAACTCTTGGTTGAGATTTCTTCCGTTTTCTGTATCCTAATACAGAGCTGCTTACTACTGCATAGGTGAGATCATATTTACACAAATTAGCACAATCAGGTATTTACTATAAGCTCAACAGGCACCACAATTTCATCACAAATGTGGTTCCTAGATGAAAGCAGCAGAACAAATTCTCTGAGTAGAGCACCTGAAAGGAAACTGGGTCAATTTGGCATTCTGCTATGGTTAACCAATTGTTAAGTACTAAATTGCTCAACAGTTGAATTCAATGGGATTGAAGTGGGTTCTTAAATTTAAGCACCCAATTAACTGCTTTACTGAAAATAGGCCTTCCACTAAAATGTCCAGGAGAACAACACTTCCGATAGGGTGTTGAAGGAGCAGTTCACAAAGTAATGCATACTTAGTTAAGTCAGATTTTAGTACTACTTTACTATCACTTTCTTTTTGGGAGGAGGAGAGGTACTGACACTGTCTAATTTTCAGTCTCCCAGGTTATCAATTGACATTACTGATAAACAAATTGAATTGATGGGCAGCCCCCATCCCTGGTCCCCGCTACACCCAAACACATATTTTGGCTGCTGCTTGCCAGCGCCTAGTGAGCCAGCTGTGGGAGTTAACCAGTAAACTCACCCTACAAAAGAGAAGTTTTCTGCTTGTTTAGCTTCATGAACCAATTTGCTACAGATGTCAGATGGGTTCTACAGCTGTTACAAGAGAAGAAGCAGGAACAAGCAGACTCTGCCATGGGAGGACAACAGCAGCAGAGATGTTAGCTTTGCTGTCCCCAATCACCTGGAGCCAGGGGCTGCTGCTGAAGTGAGCAGTTCAGCCCTTCCCCTTGTGCAGCTGTGGGGATGAAAGCTAACCAGCTCTTCTGTGCAGAAGTTGCCTGGTGCTACACTCTTGTGACCTTGTGAACTCTACAGCCAGAACAAGAGAGGCAGTGGAAATGGGACCCCCACAAGGAAGGGACCACCTTCTTCAATGACAGCCTATACTTAGGTCATCTTGAAGTAAGCAGGGAATTGCAATCTATTCCAGGGTGCTGATTCAGGAATGGGGCTAAGATACTCACCATTCATCATCTTATTCACATCTGTACCTAATGCACAGAAAGACAGAGGACATAGATCTAAGAAAACTGCTGGTCTGTGAAGTTCCTACTCATACAGCTTCCTCAAACTGGTGTGGAAGGAGCAGTTAGTAGGGCTGCACAAAACTGCACTGGTGAATTCATCGGGGTTGAAAATCAAGGGGCAAGGGGGAATCCTAAATGTGAATTATTTCACTGTTTGGTTCACCATGTAACCTCGTGAACAGTTAACCTGTGCAACAGAAGGGAGTCTGTGGGCAGCTGCAAACTCATTCAACTGGAGGACAGGTAACCAGGTGACAAAGCAGGGCCCTTGGGCTCTTCTGTTTTAAAAGCTCTGCAATGTATCCAAATTAGATGCCTAATGTTTCCTAACAGTCCAAAATCAACTCCCTAAAGGCCCAAATTTTGAATCTTTTCTTGGAAAAAATACGATGGTAAGATCAGCAACAAAAGCATGACACTCAGCATCACCAGACATCTTTACATGTGACCCCTGCAAGCACAGAGGTCAGCAGAAATTTCCTGGAGAGGGTCACCGTTTTAAGTTGTATTTATTCCACATGTGAGTGAGTACCAAAAAAAGAATCATATTCGTACTAGAAATATTTACTTGTTTCATTTAGCCTGTCCACACTTTTCCAGCTGGGTAATGCAGAGAGCTTGCGTTCCTTCTGTTTCCTGAATTGTCCTTTTTGCTGCCTCCAAAGAGCCTCAGTCACAGACGATGCAGGGTCTAGTCCTTTACTGGGCATGTCTTCACTAGCCAGGGAGAATGCAGACTGAGACCTCTGTGGGAATAAGAATCAAAGAGCAGAATTTAAAAATAGAAATACTTAATTATCAAACTCTTTCTCATAATTAGTATGAGTATTCAGTTACCCATGGAAGTGAGGAATCTGCTAGCATCCGGAAATGGAATTTAATGGGTTCAAAAGAATTGTTTCAGCACTAGATTGCTTACTTATGTGCATTTCTGATGCTATGCAAGGAGGCAGGAAATTGTTTATACTACCATGGACCAGATGGAAAGAAATAATTAAGGTGAAGTTGTTAGGAATGTGCTTGGTGAGGACTGATATCTAACTGCTTCCACTCAAGCTAGTCAGAAAGAGATCCCATTGTGGTGAGACATGATGATCTATTGTTGGCTCAACAGGCCATCTGGTGTAACAATTTGCAGAAGTTAAAAATTAAAAAAAAAGCAAATAAACAGACTGTTCCCCAGAAATAGATGTGCAACTCAACTGATTTTAATACAGAATTATTTTGTTTGCTAGGACATACATATCACACAATATGCTGGGCAGTTTTATGCAGTCTTGCTAATGAAGTCCACACAGCCTACAAGTGCACATCTATTTGTTTCCAGGAGGGTCACGTTTCACGTCCAAATGAGGTAAAATACTGTTGTGATTGTTAATGAGCCCTGATTACTACTGAAGGTAAGGCATTTTCCTTTGGATCTACATAAATAGATCAGACATTTTAGTTTTGACTGAGGCACTGGGGTCAGTTACAGAAGCCACATTTAAATTTGGTCAGATTTGAAAAAACCTGTGAAAACTGGTAGTGTCCTGCTTATTTCAGGAGAACTCACCCTTACATATCAAATCACATATGTAATTCTAGAAACAAGGCTACAGCAGCTCAAGTCAAGCTTTAACCTGTAGTTGACGCCATTTTGCTGCAGCACAATATATATTTTTTTAAAATTAATAACTGCTTTTGATGACAGTATGTGCTTAGGCAGCTTGAATGGCCAAAGAGATCATTTTTTTAAATGACAATTAGCTTTTTTTCCCCATAACTTTTTATGACTCAAAACCTCTGTCTTGGCCTTCATAACAGGGTTAGTAAAAGACTGTCTGTATATGCCAGGGTTTCATTAAGAAATACATTTTCAAGTCACTCAGCTTCTCCACACAGGCACACTCAAATCTTTGTACAGTTTAATTGACGATCAAATTACAAATAATTAACTAAAGCTGTTAATCTCAAACCAGCCAGTCTTTGCCTGCATCAGAGCTCTGCTTTGCACTGGTGCAGATGAGGAAAAGGGTAACTTGACTTTCAGCTATTTTCAAGTCCCTTGAATTCCCGGGGCAGCATAAGCATTGCTGGGAGTCCTCCTGGCTTGAAAGCAACACTGACACCACTTCTCTGCCTGTACCTTCTCCCATCTGAAACGGTCCTGTGTGGGGACCCATGTACCATGCCCCAAGATTTAATTAACTGCAAATCTTCCTGTATCCTTGGCTCAGCAGCATGATTTCGGAACAGATTCAGTAAAAAGAAACACAACAAAGCACTGGGGTTTACGTTTGGCTTCTGAAATCTGGAGGAAAAGCCAGAATTATTGCCCTAGAATGGAATATTTTCTGTAGCGGCAATGACAACCTAACTTGGTTAGTCCTGTCCATGCAAAGACACAGGTTCTAACATGATGCATTGGAGTGTTTACTTTCAAATTCAGTGACACGAACTACTAAAAATAAGCTCATAGTGCCGTATAATTTTATTATAGGGAATCTTTCAGATGAGTCACTTATACAAACCAGCTATATTCAAATGTATATTTAGGCTGTTTCAAATCTCAAACTAGATCTTCAACTGATCAAGATCATCTGAATCCTCCTTAACCCTGTAAAAGGGTTAATAATTTAACACAATACAGAAAGGTGCATAAATTGTTTTGCTATAGGAATTTGCTCATTAACTTTGATTGCATCCTGCCAGGATATATGGACAATATAAACAATTCTGCCACAAATTTGCAGCCTGAACTATGACAAATTTTAACTGTGCTGTGGCTCGCTTCACTTTGTTGTAAAGTAAGAACTACTGAACTTCCCATTCTTACAATAAATTAGGTCCAGTTCACGTCTGCCATATCCTCTGATATCTTTGTGTTAAAGTTGTTACGTACTGAAAGCAGCAAGTTGTTGTGGCTGTCACTATTTTCACAGCACCAAGAATATTCTCTCAGGGCACATTCTTTTTCCACATATATGGCAAACAGAGAGATATAAGAGTTCTGAAGAACCCAGAAGAAGGAATATCTTACAGTTTAATCACTAGTGTCTATTTTCCCTTATTACTTAAAGAACTGGATCATAAGAAGGAGAAGAAAAAAATCAGAAAAAACTGAAGTAGTCTGTTTAATGATAACCTGGGCTGAGATAATGAAAGTAACATGTTGTCTCTTATTATGTAAAATCCGTAGGTTTGACAACTTTTCTGGTGTTTTGTTTAAATGGCAGCTTCTCGCCTGCCTACTCGCTGTTTCATAAACACCACAGTAAAGGCTGCATCGCAGAGATGGCAGTGTCTGCACTTAGCACTCAACCAACCCGAGACCCACCAGCAGCTTAGCCCTGGCCATGCAGAACTTGGCACGGGCTGTGAAACCCACTGAAGGAGCTCAGCAATCCTGCCCTCGGACCCATGCTTCTGCAGAAATGCTGCTATCAGCACTGCCTCAGCCATTTAAAGATAACTCAGGTGCCTCTACACTATAGGACAGATATATCTTTCAGGAGGACTAGAAGATACACAGCTTGAAGGATTTAAAAAGGAGAAGACGAGCATGAAGGGCCTGATGGACAAAAAAAACACTGAAAAACAAGGAAGCACATGAAAGTAGACAAAGTCCCATATGCTACAGCAGCCTAGGATCTCAAATAAGCTTATCCAAACAAGCTTATCTAAAACAAGCTGATTCTTTTAAATTGTGTGCTGAAACTTTTGGGTTGGGTCAGAGGGAAACTGCTCTCCACAGTTTCTGCCACCTGTCTGTGGAGAGCAGGAAATTGGTATTATGCAGGAACTCCTGCTAATTCCCAGGAAAATCCCTCCAAATGCAGTAAGGGAAAAAGTTTTTGGTGCCTCCAAAGCTTGGCTTGAGCCCATCCTCACCTTTCTACAGTTTATGTGAATTTTGGTAAAATCCCTCTTGGACTGCTCTCCTAGAAGTATCACCTCTTCTCACAGAAGATGGTTCAACGTCACAGAAGGCTCAAGGAAGGAAAATTAATGCCAAGCTAAAATAGCTTGACGACACCTCTGCATTCAGATCCTGAAAAAGGATGAAATGATGCTACTGGAAGAGGCTGATGAACTATAACTCTTCACTATTACTTCTGTAGTTCTCTGCAGTTCCTGTATCTGGGGAGATTTAAATGATCAAGATGTGCCAGTGTTCTAATAAGCTCCAACTAAGAAGAATAAATAAAAGTAGAGGATTAGGTTATTTCTTGTTCTGAAAGTTAGTTTTGGATAGTGATGGAAGTAGAATTGTGTTTTACTCAGACAAGTATGAGTGGAAAGAAAGCGTAAATATTCATCCCTGATAGCAGTTCAAATCACCGGTAAGGATACAAACAAGGAGTGTCAATAGCCAAGCCTGGTGTAGGAATAGGACAAAGGCATATCCTGGCATGAGAACAAATTAGTCTACACTGGCATAAACATGGCCATTCTTTTCAGAGCACAAAAGCAAATGTTTGTCCACAAGTTTATCTCCAATCAATTACCAACCTGACTGACGACTCTATCTGAAAAGCAAATGACTCAAGACCTTGTTTTGTTGCTTTTGCAATTAGGAGCAAACTAGAAAGTCAGTTGTTTGGTGTGAGGTGACACAGCAAAAGCTCTAATCTTGTTTGGCACATTTGCATCAACTTCAACTCACCTGGCACCACTAACTCAACAGCCCTATAGCACGGGCTGCAGCATGGGCTACACGCTTACGTATGTGCCTGCCCATGCTGCTGACTTCACTGCCACACTCACCTGTGGCAGGCAGCGTAAGTACACATCGCTGTGCCTCCCTTCATCACAGAGATCACAGCCCATCTGGAGATCCACAGGGGACATTTTTCCACTGTGGATGTTTGCATAGAAAGCATAACACTGAACGTAAGGGAACAGGGTCGAGAAGCCGATCTGGGGGCCTGGTGCTCCATGCAGTTTCCTTGTGCATGAATGCAGGGAAGTCCTAGAGGTAAGGCCAGCTGCCCAGATAGGCTCTTGGATCAGTCTGCATTGGAACAAGGGATATTTACCGACCAAATGGAGCAGTCATGGCCCTGAGTCTTTACCAGGGGCTACAAACTTGGACAGCAACAAGGTCTCAAGGCAGAAGAACCAATCCAGTCTATTTTCCAAAAGTATCTGAATGATACAGCAGCCTAAATATGATTTTCAAAAGGAGGCAGGAAGGTAGATGCTTTTGGTGCTGATTTATAATGACATGAGAGGTCAGGAAGACCCTTCCCTCCCAGGTAAAGCTACCAGAAGTTCTGCTTCCTCAGCAAAAAACCTTGTCAGCCAGGTGCTATTTTAGGTGTATTTATTTGTGATGAATTACAAGACTGCTATATATGTTTGCAGTCAGACACTAAGGTACTGCAACTGTTAGTTTCTGCAATAAATTAGTACATCAGCAGATGGCATTGCAACCAAACAGGTCATTTGCTATGTTCAGTGCACACTCTCCTCCCTTGGAAGCATGTGCTGCATACTGGATTGCTGTGCAACACAGCACAGCTTGCAAAATATAGTTACTGTATTGACAGGCATTTCCAAACACTTTCATAGATGAGTTCCCCACCGAATACTGCCTACTGGCATCTGCTGTGAGATGTTTGTTTCAAAAAAAAATTCCAGACACATTATTATTCTCTTGGGTTTTTTTACCCCTCTTCAGGTGATTTCTGCTGCATAGTTGTAACGTCTGCATGGAGAGAACTGAGCCTTCATCTTGTAATGCGCTAGTGCTAAAAGGAATAATTTTTGCACGTACAGTTCTGTTTTCATTGCTAGCCTTCAGGAAAAATAAAAAGGCAACACAGTTTGTGAAGATTAAAGGAGGAGCGAATAAAAAGTAATTGCATACAATGTTTCCTATTACTTAATAGATAGAAATATTCCATCTTCTGTCTATAAAAATTTACAAGTTCATGCTTCTGAACATTGAATAAATGCAAACAAAACATGTAACCAAAAGCAAGAACTTTCATCAAACACGGTTGTGAATACTGAGTCTAACATTGATGATCTATGGATTCTGTACCTGGAATAACTCTCCTATATATATGCATATTGTTTAGAGACAATATCAAGATTTTGCTCTATATTCTTCCTCAAAAGATGAAAGAATATGGGTAATTCCTCTTTCTTCTAAACAGAAGCCAAAATCATAATTCAAAATAGATTCCAAAACCAACTCACTAAACTCTACAAAGGATATTCTGGATCATGTGTGGTTTTCTCCTCACTTCACTCCTATTGCACCCTATTTCTTCTGTCTGGTTTAACTAGTAAAACTGTAATTTATTCTGCACTTATGTATAGTAAATCGAGGACTCTCCCAGCTTCAGGAAAGACTGAGAATCCCAGGTGCCACAAGGACAAGGCAGCTGCAGGGTCACCACGGCAGGAGCCCTTGCAGGCACTGAGACCTCAACACCGGGGCTGAGGGCAGGGAGTCCTGTGTTTGTCCTGTGCTGTGCAAGCTCTGACCTGTGGGACAGCTGTTAATTCGGGCTTTGA